TAACCTTTCAGCTTATTTATAAAATTCCACTTGAATAATTTATAATAATGTGAGAATGTGTGTTAGATAAGTAGTTAAGAAGTATTCTCGAACTATGCAAGAAATATGAATAATTTAATTAATAGAAATATTGGATGAAATTTCTTTGAAAAGGGTAATGTATTTAAGATATCTCTTTGTTTCTTCAAATAATCATCTTCAGGTCATTATCGTCATAAGCAAAATTTTTCTCGATAGGATATTTGAATATTGGCTAAATAATGCTCAAAGATATTTATTTCTCCTTTTATCATTTTCAATTATCACTTTCAGCTAAACTCTTTTGCCGAATGACAGATGAAATTTACATGCCTTTACAGGTAAATAATTAAGTAAACAGATTATTGGTCACCTGATCATCTCATTCAGATTACCTTCTTTATGTTGAGAAGGCGTAAAATTACCGTAATCCATGGAATTTTTTTTTATGGGTTCGGCGTCATATATCAGATCAACCATTCATTCTTTTCAGTCAAACAAATCTATTGTACAGCTTTCATTTGGCTGGTTGTTTGGATGAAGTGCATATGTATGTGCATGTGCATGTTGCACGTGCAAATGCGAATGTAAGTTTGTTTGTGTGTATGCGAAATGTTGATGCATTTAGTGTTCAGAAAAGAGACTTCTCTAACTGTCTTCCTGGCATTTGAACCTTTTACCTGACAGATTACCTTTCTTAAGTTGATTTGTTTGTCATCTCTGCTCATTCACTTTTTTCTCTGTCCATTTTCTTTGTACACAAAGAGTTTGGTAAAGAGAAGGAAGAGGGGACTGATGGCATTACTGTGTCCAACCCGCATGTATGGGTACGGTCGTCTGTCATCTTAATGGTGTCACCCATTCCCTCTTATTATAGAGAGACAGTCAGAGACACATCCTTGTCATTTCAACTACGAAATGATTCTTGGATTTTTTCACTTTGTCTATTTTTTATTTAAATTATTTTTTTCTGTAACTCAATGACTATTAATGAATGACCGACCGATGCTTACATGAAGCTATATATCATGTCGATTTCACGTGAGAGAAATGTACGAAGCTGCTATCGTAGGTCGTGTCGATGTCACATGGGATAAAATTGTATGAAGCCATAGATCAAAAAGAAAAAAAACTCTCTTATTTGTTAACAATGAAGCATAACATTACTAAGTCATCAGCAATTGAAAATAACTAAAAATGAACCGTTGAGTGGTCAGAAAAATCTAACAGACTGATTGATATGTGATATTATCAAAAGATAAATTGATATTTATATTAAGTATTTTCTATTGGTAATTAATTCTATGTTTATTTTACTTTGTCAGGTTTTACTATTGCATGTTAAGAAATGTAATCATCAGATTTGATCGCTGGATAATAGTGATATTGAAGTTTACAAAAAGGCTGGTAATTTATCAAGTGATAATTTAGTCAATGAAGTGAAAACGAGTTAGTGATAAAATAGAAATAACAAGTAAACAATTGATCATATAACAGTTCAATAGAAATGATTTATTATTGATGACAGTTGTATATTTCATTGTGAATAAATAAGAATGATGGCATCATTACGTTACTTTTCCAGTCACACATTAATGATATGTATTCATTCTCAAAGATTTCATATTCAAGGTCTTTTTTTTCTTTCTCTCTTCAATATGAATATGATAATAATTTGCTGTGAAGAATGAAGATAATTTGATCATAGGTCAAATTTTGTTATATCACTAATTATCTTCCTTAGAGATATTGTCTGTTTGACGAATTATCTAAATCAAAAAACAATGAATTATTTATTCTATTCTATAAGATTGCTTCAAGATATTAATCTCATATTATTCTGTTTGTTTTTTTTTGTTTTTGCAATCATACTTAATCAAATCAATAATTAGAACAAAGCAAGTATACCCAAAATTATTGCTCATTTTATGGATTTTTAGATCTATCTTAGAAAAATATAATTAATAATAATAAGTTCAGTTCATTTTTTAAAATATAATTAATAATAATAAGTTTAGTTCATTTTTTTCAGAGAAAATTTTTATATGGAAATTTACAGTAGACATATTGGTGGCTTTTTTAGCGCTCAACATTTAGGAGCTAAAGAAAAATGGGAAGTTTTGCAAAAGTATAGCAAAACAGTTGGGTAGCTATTCACTGGCTAATCTTAATTATCAATTATTTCAGCATTCCATTCATTCCATTTCCCATTGAAAAATTAAAAATTGATTAGTTAATTTTGAATATAAATAGCGTAAGAGTCAAGTAGATTATTGCTGCGACCTTTCGATTTAATAACCGAACACCTTTCTCATTACACTTACAACGAAAGCTAATAAATGTTGGTCAAACTATTCCGTAAATTTCCAATCTATGAAGTAATATTCGACAATAATCGAACTAATCATGTGTAATTTTTGAATTGAAATTAATAGAGTGGCATAACTACAATAATTTCAATAACAAAATTTTTAAAATGTAATGAAATTTATTTCATTTGAATGAGGACACACAGCTAATAAGCGTAGAGTTTGGCTTAATTTCTAAACCTATTGAAATTAAATTAATTTAGGGATACATTTGTCACAATTGGATTACTCGGTTTATCAATGATAACAATTAATATGATATAGAAAAGAGGCATTTTTCTCAACTGCAACGGCTACAATGTCATTTGATCAAGCGATTCCTAATTGCTCTGAATGTTGTAATGGAAGCGCTTTTTAAGCAAACATTATCGTACGCGTATCAGTATATAGAGAGTTTAAGATAGAAAAAAAAGCAATGTTTTTTGATAACGACTTATGAATCATCATTTTGAAATTCCAATCAATAAAATTGTAATTTTTCTATTAAATTTCTTGAAAACAAAAGAAAAACGTCTTTGATTATTATTGATTGATTGAAATTGAGTTATTGAAAATTTGCAGTAATTTCAGCATATTTATGGATTTTTTTATATCTGACAAAATGCAAGTATTATATGAAATTTAGATCGATAATTTACATGAAATGCTAATCATCTATTTATATTTATCTGCAAAAGAGAAATTAATCTAAGAGTTAATGAAGAAACTGATAATGTAATAATACTTATTCTAATACGTATGGCTTCAATTAAATTTTTTGCTTTCTTTAATTTAAAATATATCAATTAGTTTCTGTATAAAATATTTTATGTCATTTTAAGGATAATTTTTGATTGTTTTTTTATTCCCAACTGTATATACAATATATATTATTGTCTTTGTTTATTGAGCGCAAATAATTATATGTTCATGAAGCACTTAGCATTTGAATTAATTAAATCAATATTGCGTAATTTAAACTGTATTATTATTATCAATATGAAGAGATTATTGAGAAGAGTAGATGTTAACGAATGAAAGGAATAAGAGAGGATTTGGAGCAGTTGTCTTGTCAGTTTAAGTTTATAGTAATCCACAAGAGTAGTTGGTTCCTCCTGAAAAGCTTTGTTCGGTTTGAACCGAATGTTTATATTATAAAGAGTCGAATAAGGGGAGAGATGAGAAGTGAAAGGAAAATTTTAAGTATCTATTTTCCATTCTAGCCCATTTAAATCGTTTAAGCCTGAAGTTTGAGCCATCTGCGCTTCATCCTCCTTCCTCTGCTGCTTCACTTTGAAATAAGTTATTTCGAAATCTATAAATTATTTGAAAGAGAGAAATAAGAAAATTGTATCAGTTTTATATTAATTTCAATTAAGCATTTATATTTTTACTAATAAAAACTGAACAATGATTTTCTGATCTAAATAGTTGAAGTGCACTTAGCCCCAAATGTTCATTCATTTCTAAGAATGAAATATTTCCGGATGGAATAATTTGTAATAAGTATATGTGTTTCAATATGAATATCCCAAGATAAATTTCTTTTTTAAAATTTTTTCAGATGGAAAAAAGTGAAAGTTTCAAGCAGCGCCATTTACAGTTTAATTTCTTCTCAATGTTACTTTTCAAATTGCTACCAACTCGTTCTCAAGAATAGAAAGAAAGATGAAAATCTTTTAATTTCATTCAAATTAGTTTTTGAAATGGTCCATTCTACTCTTAGAAATTTTAAGAAAAAAATTTTAAAAATTTATTGCATAAAAAGAATCTATGCATTAATTTATATTAATTTTCATCAAATTGATAAAATATACATTAGTACCAATTGATTAATTAAATTAAAATTGATGAGAGAAGATAAGAGCGATAAGCTATTCAGCGAGAAAAACAGGTAGTGTATGGGATGCAAGAATGTTTCGGTAGACATCAATCAAAAAAGTATTGTCCCTTTACTGTGAGTTGTCAAGCATTTGCTTACAATTACACTTTTTTCTTTCTTTCTCAATTCATCTTCCAATTCATTCTCGAGAATACAAATTCGGGTACTGTACAGTTCGTCTAGTCTTAAAAATTACGCGGAAAATTCGCATTACTTTCATTTTATTAGAATTAATTCAAATTTTATAATTAAGGCTGACTCTAACTGTGAAAATTTTCCAAAAAATGTGAAGACAGAGAAGACAGGTTCTATATAAGCTTAAAAAATTTTTGTTTTCTTAAAAAATTTGAATATTCTCTTAAGTATTACATAGGTTTTGCAAGATATTATATGAGTATACAAATTACATGAGTATACAAATTATGTGAGTATACAAATTCCCGTAATGAAATGCTACGAGAATTTGCATATTCTTTTATCTCTAATATTTATCTGATTTGTTGTTTTTTTCTTTCATGAATATATTTATAGCTTTAATTTTGCAGTACTTCATTGTGTTTCTATAATATTTCAATTTTACAATATTTCATTGCATTTTCAAATAGCAAGCCATCGCATTAAGCGCAAATTTTCGATCTTCTGGAAACGTCATCTTAATTTACTTTTATATGATACAACTTGTTGACCATTATAGAATAATACAAATAATTTATAAGAAGAAAAAAATTCAAGAAGCTGTTTGGAAGCGAGAAATGAGCATCGTTGTGCAAGGAGAAGCACCGGAGCCTAAAAAATTTCGATCATCTCTACCTACTCAGGTACACATTTTTTTTATTTCAAATTTTCATAATGATTGCAATAGTTTGCTAAAAATTTATCATTTTATATGACAATCCCATATTAAAATTAAATATTGTTAATTCTTTGATGAATATTTTATTTTGCTACGTTCAGTTAGATAGTGAAAAAATTAAGGTAATTGTGGAGAAGCCAACTTTTACATACCAGAGCAGTGGTAGCCCTTTGGATGATGCAGCGAATGGAGGTCAATCACCTGCTGGTCCATCCTCTGCCCGTTCATCCAGCTCCACATCATGCATCAAGGAAGAACGAGAACGAGATGATTTATGCGCAAATGGTATTAGCAATAGCAATAGCAATAGCAACAACAACCTGTTACATCCAAGGAGTGGCCAAAGTCTTGTTGATGCATTTTCTACGGCAATGATTTTTCAGGCTACTAATGCATATATAAAAGTATGATAAATTTTATTTCGAATAAAAATTCAACTTTTTTTAATAGAAAAAAGAAAAGTATCACTTTACGCATATTTCATCATAAAATAAAAATTACATTCAATACAAATAGCTAGCTTATTTAATAAAATGTAATTGATATTTTTATTTTGATTAAACAGAATGCTTTTTCATTCTTTTTCTTTTTTATTTTATAGCAAATGCAACCAACGAATCAAAAAAGTCGCGGCAAGTCAGCTACTCCAAGTGGTGATGATTATTTTTATTGAAAATTTACTTTTCTATTTCATTTAGCATAAAAATTAATATTGAGCACAAAATAATTTATTATATTGATATGTTATGCTTTTTTTAATTATTTAAAATTCTGATTGAAGTATATTTTTCATTTTTGTTGTAATTAATTTTATATATGCAAAATTTTTTTTTGCAGTACCACCAGGACCACCAATTCCGGGTGCTATAGCAGCAGCATCATCACCAGCAGCTGCATTATTCAGTGAAGATGATTGGTCTTGGCATCGTAATCCGGCTGCAGCTATCCGGAGTGGTGGAACTAATAAGCAGACACCGGTTTGGAAATTCTTCGTTTATAACAAAGCTGAAAATTTGAGCAGGTGATATTTTTGAAGGAAAAATTTTTTTTTGAACCATCTTTTCTTATCATATAGCTCTTTCTAAATATAATAATTAAAAATGAATTAATTTTTATAGATGTATTGTGGGTAATTGTACGTATGTATTAAAAGGACCGCATACCAGTACACTTGCATGTCATCTTAAAAAACATCCACCGCAATATGTGGAGTATCAAAAATTAAAAGTTGGTTTAATTAATTTTAATTTTGTCCTTAAAAAACTTTACACTCATCTGTAAGTTTACTATTGAATAGTTTAATTTGGATTAATTATAAAACGGATGCTAAAATTGATATCAATCGGTTATGGTAGATGCTGTATATTATTTTAATAATTTTTGGTAGATACTTTATAGTTAATCACATAGTTCATTCTACGTTTTATTCTTCAAGATTATTAGTAAGTAGTTCGATAGTTTCAGGCTATTTATTCACGTGATCGCCTAAATAATATTAGCAGCAATTCTTCTCAGATGTCAGTTTCACCTGCTCCTGCATCATCCGGATCCGGTAGCGCTACACAATTAAACAATAATTGTAGCAGCCGTAGTATGAAAACAGCTGGAAATAATTACAATAATGCTAGCGGTAATGTTTTGCGAAATCGTGCTCACGATGGTTGTTCATCAGGAAATTCGCTCAATTCTATCAGACATCATACATCCGTTTCAAATGTTGCCGCTAATTCCGGAAAACAATCAACTCATAGTGTTAGGTATTCATATCTTAAATAGATTCTAAGCAGAAATAAAATTTATCAATTCTTTCTGTAAGAATTATACCTTATAAATTATTATGAATTGTAATATGCAAAATCAACATCTCTTTCAAGCAGTATATTGGACGTTCTAAATGCGAGGGCAAGTGTAGCAGCTTTAGCTAGCGGAAATGGTCATTTGTTACAAAATCCAATTGCTGCCATTTTCAATAATCCGGAAAAAGATAATGGAAATAGCAGTGGTGGTGGTAGTGGTGGTAGTGGTGCTGCTATTAGCAGCATACGAAATGCATCCGGAAATTCATCATCAAACAAAAATAGTTAGTTCATGATTTTGAAAAATTTTTTTCGATATCATTATGAAATTTTTACTCGCCATATAAATTGATTGAAATTTTTTAATTTCGAATCAAAACACTTACAAATAAGTGCGTAAGCTTTAAAGAGTTGAGAGAAATAAAAATTTCTTTGTACAAATATACAGAAAAATGTATTTTAAACTATTTTGAAGCTTCGAATGCATTTCTATAGTATGGTATAAAAGGAAACTTTTTTATGAAATGAAATTTTTATTTCATTTTCAAAAGGTTTAATTGAGCTATCTATAAGAAAATAAAAATGTAGAAAAAAATTCACTCTTCAGATAGTTCATTGGCAGATGTGTTGACTGCGAATTTATTAATGGCAGCGAGTGGTAGTGCGACAGGTAATGCAGTAGGAATTGGACGAAAATGGAATCGTGAAGATCGGAAGCAGAAAGAAATGGAAGTTAAATTAGCACTAATGCTTTCTGCTAGCCAACTTCCATTGAACATTATCGAGAATTCATTTTTTCGTGAATTCATGGAATATGTTCAACCACGTTTCTCGATACCACATGACATTAATTATATGGAGGAAGTTAGCAATGATTTTACATTCGTAGCTTTTTGTTGGAAAAATTTACTCGCAAATTGTTGAAAGCTTAGCACCATTACTTTTAGCCAGTAGTAAAGGATAAATTTTCTCTTTGAAATATCATACTTCTTAACTCGTTGAGTTTCTGTATTAATAGAAATATTACATTCTAAATTTTTTCAGTATTTTACGTTCCGTATTTGATTATGCATACTTTCAAAATTCTAAAAGTTCCATAAAACAAATTTGCAAAGCAATATGAACTACCAGTTATTCGGATGTAACGATTTTCTCATGTTAGTTTAAAAAAAAGATAATGCTAAGCAAGATGGTAATTTCAGATAATCAATACGGAACATTCACGATTGGTTATCAATTTAAAAAATCAATTAACCACCGCAAAAAAAGTTGCCGTTATGATCGATGTATTAAAATTAAACACATCAACAGCATCCTCTGCTGCACTTTCTGCAAGTGTTGATGATAAGGTATTATTTCGTCGGATCTTTTTTCTCTTTTCATTAAACATAAAAAATGAAAAAATAAAATTTAAAATCCCCTAAATTTTATCTTTTAAAATTTTAAAATAAAAAAACCTTCAAAAGATGAAATTTAAAAATTTCATTTTTTCTTAGACTATTTCAATACTAGTGTATGTTTACAAATAAGAGAATAAGGTGAATGAATTATGTTATTTAAGGAAGAATCAAAAGATTTGGAATCAAAAGATTCGACATCTGTTAATTCGGATAGTGGCTTTGAAGTATCCGATGAGAATCAATCTGATACAGAAACGCCAAAATCATCAGCCACACGAGCGGAAGGAATGCGATTATTGGTTCGACTTTGTGTATCTGTTGCCTTTCATAGTCCATTAGCACAACGAGTGGAAGTTGCATTGCTCGGTGTTCGACCACTTACTGACCAAACAAATATGATTGATGCAGTGAAATCTACAATTGAACAGGTTATTTAAGTTAAAAATTATTTCCGCAATCATTTTCATTTCAGCATCCGATGCTAAATTTCGTTTGATAATAAATTACTTTTGACAAAATTTATTACAAAAAGATAATTAATATTTTTTTAATTAAAATATTAACCAAAAATTTTCAGATTCTTTCCGATTTTGATATCACAACCGACAAAGTATCACGTTATCTCTGTAATGATGTATACGAATTAATTGGAATTAATGCTTCGCCAGAAGATGTCTTCCCTCGAATGGTACACTTTCATTCTTCACTTTCCTCCATACAAATGAAAATTTTGTCGAAACTTCAATTGCTTTCTGCTTTTTTCTCTTTTCCTATATTTTCAATTTTTTCTTTTTTGTGAATGAAAATTATAATTAGTAATTAAATAAATTTACAGCTAGAACCATACAATCAAAAGTTGACGCAATCGTTGTTGAACGTAATAGATGCAAATGAGGGAATTGAAGAACTGAAGAAAAGCTTCTATAGCATGATTTTAAATTTCGTCACAAGGCCAAATGCTATACAATTGCTACAACAAGCTGTCGGTAAATTTTAATTTTACAAGAAAAAAAAATTTTTGTCCATTTTTCTCATAAAATTTAAGAATCGCATTCAGGACGTCCGGTATCAATACCCATTGCTGATTCATTTCTTGTTCTTATTGATGCTATTCTTGAACTCAAAGATGCATTCCTGTGTGTTTGTGCGCAGATATCTTTCGAATATCCTGTTGAAACAATCAATGAATCTCAATGGTAAATTATTTACTTCTAAACTTTTCAAATTTTCCTTTTTAATTCATGCAAATAATATATGTTTACATGTATATCAAATTCAAGCAAATGAGAAATTGTAAACAAATTCATTAATTAGCAAATAAATTAATTTCGCCTTCAATGAAGGTTATTCCAGTTGTAAAAAGGTAAATAAATTAATTTCACCTTCAATAAAAGTTTTTCTAATTAAAAAAAAGGAAATAATAGCCATATGGTGAAATGTTAAAATTTTAATCTCAGCCTAATAACTTTTATTTATTTAAGGCAAGTTCTGGAAAATGTTTCAAGATTGTTGCGACTGTTTAACACCCATATGAACGTTGTACAGGATGGTGTTTATGCAACAATTGATGGTGTTGTTCCATCATTGATGCAACTGCAAGTTTCTCTTGAGAAAGTATGCAAAACTTTTTGCTACTTAAGAAAATGATCATGAAAAATTGTTACTTGAGAAAACTCAAAAAATTGTCGTTTAAGAAAATTTGTTAGGTAAAAAAAAGAAAATAGAAAGTAATGATATGATAAAATTGCTGTTTTCATTTATGTAATTATGTTTGTTTTTGCTAAAAATTGCAGGAAAAAAGTATTATTGCAATGATGGATTATTTTTGATAGACAAATATTCTTTGAATACATACTAACAGAGCCTAATATATTCATCATAGTGCTAGAAGTGTTGAAGAAACAAATAAATATAAAAAATAACGGCAAGCTACCAATTGTAAATTCATCATCTTTTCACAAGTCAGAGTCAGATAAGATCATTCTAGAATTTTAGATCCCCGATTTTCTGAATTAGACTAATAATTTCAAATAGTCAGTAAACGTCACTTAATGTAGTCACTTAATTACTGTATTAAAATCATAGATTCAAAAAGAGAACAGGAATTTAATGCTGTATAAAATATTTTATTTCATAAGAAATCCTAATAACGACAGCATTTAGACATAAAGTTAAAAATGTTAATTCCAATTTTACATATTTATTTTTCATTTCATTCCTTGAGTTCTTTCTCTCATTGCTAGTTAGCTTTTCTGGTTACGCTTGATGAAATCTTGTAAATTAACTCCTTGAATTTGGATTTTTATACAATGAAGTTAACTGGGAAGAAAAAATGCAAATCTAACAAATAGCTGAATTATATTTTAATGATTTTTTTCTGACTGAAATTATTTTCTATATCGGACAGTAATTGATTATAAAAAATCTCAATAATTTAGATCGCTGATATAAAACGCATAAGATGTGGTTAATAAAAATTAATGAACCATTCTTTAAAATTAAAAGCATTCTACGTTAGATCACTTATAATGAGCTGTGACAGCTAATAATAAATTAAATTAATATTATACTAAATTATAAACTAGCGTGCAAAATAAACGCATTTCTGCTAGATTGTATAATTAATATTTGAACTAAAAGTTAAATTTCGAATTAAATTAGAATGATCAAATTTCAGGACTTTACTGCTCTTGGGAATTTAGCAACTCAGTTGAAAACAGATTTACAAAAGCGTACAGCATCAATATTGGATATTACTGCTCCTGATTTTGATGGAACATTCATCCAAGCAACGGCATTAAATCCACATTTAGCCCTATTGTTGGATGACGAACAGTTAGCATATGCCAGGAATGCTATCGAACAAGAGGTATTTTAAATTCAAACAAGAGGCATTTTAAATAACTGACGAACATATGTATAAATTTTTCTTATTTTACTGCAATTAAAAAGGGGAGGGGAATGATTGCGGTATGCGAAGTTAATCATAAGATTATCTTCGACGAATTGGAGAAAAGTTAAGTGAAAAATTGAAAAAAAAATAACTGTCCTCTTTTTTGGAAAAAATTTTCTTTTTTTTTTTGGAAAATTATTCAAAACCACTTTATAGCACTGAAAAGAATAGGAAGCTCAATGAATATTAAGGTAAATTATATAATTAAAATTTTAAGATCATATAAAAGTTAGATAATCAAAATTCCAAAATTTGACGAATTGAAAGTTTTGTGTATTTATTTATAGTTAAATGAACGTATGAGATTAGCGGAAGAAATAGTCGCTCGTCGTACTGCACGACTAAATGGTGGCGTTGATGCACTACTTGCAACGGTAACAGATCGTGCAGCTGCTACTTCATCACTAACACCAACTTCCGGTATCAGTAATAGTAACAATTCAAAAATTGGCAATAGAAATATCAATAATATTGGTAATTGTGATACGTCACTTTCATGCCAGAATATTACAACAACAACTTCACTCTATCCGGATCTTATTCATGCTGCAAACGAACGACGAAAAATGATGAAGGTTATTGTTTAGGATTATGCAAATTGCATTAATTTTAATTTTAATTCATCTTTTCAAAATAATCAATGTTAAAGATGATTTTTTTTACATAATTTGAATTATTTGAAAGTATTAAATTATAAAATGACTATAATAATTGAATGAACAAAATTGCTAATTTTGCGATTACTTAAAAATTCTTTCTAAAATTGAGTAGTTGTATCTGATCAATTTGCTGCAACGGTTTGTATTCCGAAATGCGACAATTTTTTTTTTTTTTTTGTAAGGCATTGATTTAATTTAATTCACTGTGCCTGCTGTATAAAAGTTAATATGTTCATTTTAAATTTCGTAAAATTCTAGGAAAGGCAACAAGCTGCTGCTAAAAATCGTTATGCTGAAGCAATTGTGCAGTCATATTTCGATGAACTTGCTGTATGTTTTTCTGTATTTCTTCTAAAATGCGCAAATTTATCAATTTTAATTGAGCGTAAAAAAATTTGCTACATAGCTGTGACTAC